TTACCTTCATATTCAAGTATGTTTTAATGTCATAATATTTCAAATAATTGAGCATAAGCTTATATGTCTCCTCAAGTCCCATATAGCAATGAAGGAGATTATATTTTAATTATATTTGTAAAAGGCTTGGTAATTATGTTCTTAAGGGATGCAACACATGAAAAATCACTTAATGGCCAAATTACTTAGGCACAAATCATGCTAGCACCAACCTTCTGGTTAGCTCAAACATTTGATTCTATTATATTTATGTATGTAATTTAAAAGAGAAAGTTTTTCAAATATAAATCTTTTGGCCACATAAGAGATGTGACATGAGGGCATTTGTACTATTCTCATTCATGGTTTCAATATAATAAACATTATATTTTTGTACCCTTAAAGTTTAGTAGATTCCAATATAGTCTACTAGGATACAGCTAGTTATATATTTAAAAATTTTGTTTCTCCAAGTTGAAAGGTTCAAACTTTTCAAGAGCTTTCAATAGTAATCAATGTCCAAACCCTTAGGGCTTTTCAATGAGCTTATAACACAAAATATCACATTAACTTCAAGTTAAGTGTAGTTGGGAAAAGTTTTTTTCAAGAATATTTTATCATAGTATAACCTTTTGCACATCGAAAAATGACATATAATTTTTCAAGTTCAATTCTACCATTATACATTTTGTATAATATGAGTGCATATATATCATATTTTACTTGTTACAAAGGCACCATTATACCTTTATTGTGTAATAGCAATATTTTACATAATTTCAAACTTTCATCTGTGATTTTATCATTATAATAAAGATGCATTTTTTCAAAGTATTTCTCTATTAATATATAACCTCCATATCTTCATATTGAGAGATATTAGATGAGATTAATGTGAATCTCAAAATTTGGGATATAAATTCCCCATATAAAAATGTTATTAAAAATTCATATCAATTTATAGATGTATTCATTCATCTCATCTTCTCATTGGAAATGAATTCTTATTAAGGATACTTGATCTCAAAGAATTCTCATTTTAATTCACAATCCTCACATTATGATATATATTTAATTTTTCAAATATTTGAGATACTTTTCCCCAATATTCTTCAAATGAATATAATATGTCCAAGTCTAATATAAATTTGTATATCGCAAATATTACAAGTGCAGATTTATGTTGTTTTCCACGAAATATGTTTTTGCACCTTTTCCTTCTCATTGTGTTTAGAACAAATACAACAAATACAACAAATACTTGAAGATATATGATAAGTACATAAATTACTTGGATATACAAAAGATATATGACCAATATTCATTCATGTTACATCTTTAATAAGAGCTCTAAGATCCATTGCCAACTTATTTTGCAAATCTTTTTATTTTTGCAAAGTCTTATTTCACAACCATATTTATAACCATGATCATAACATGATGTTATATTCTCTTTATTCTCTTTCAGGAATGGAATTAAACCAGTAGTTGTGATTGATGATTTTTCATAAAAAATTCATAATGTGGTTAGCAACAAGAAGACATATATTTACTTTGAATATAAATGTTAAAATTAGCCTCTCAAGATTGTTACTTTAGAGCATATTTGAGGCATGAAAAAAAGAATGTATCTTTTCTTATATGTTTTTATCAATAATAATTTTTCTTTACATAAATCAATTCAAAATATTTGTGGATTCATACTTAAGTAATAAATGGATTCATTCAGAGCTAGCTTTTTGGAAGAATTGCAATTTTCTTTTGATGACCATCTTTCTTTCAAACAATTCCATGATTCCAATGAATCATTCATTATCAAACATTCATCTCTGAGTCCTTTTTGGACTTCATAATCAAGAAATATCATTTCATCACAATCCTTTAAGGATGCCATTTTCTTTCTTCAAGAGATACTTTATTCATTTTCACAATGAAATCTTCAAGATTCATTGGAGGTAAATGAATTTTTACATCAAGAATTCATAACAAATAGTTAGAGCCCAATTTATCAAGGGCAATGAACTCAAATCTTTTAACAAGTGTAAAATAACATATAAACAAGAAATTGTTATAGTATCATAGACTATTCAAATTAAAAACTAGGAATTAAAAGACAATTTTGCCTCAAAATCTTACCTTAACTTAGATCTTTACTTCAAGTTATTCATCACCTCAAACATGATTCATGAATAGTAATTCATATAAAGAGAAGTCATGCTAATAGCGTATTGTAAAAAAAAAGAAGAAAAAATTAGAAGAAGAAGAAAAATTAGAGAAATAAAGTGAGGCAATACAAAGATATATTATATTTCTATTTATTTCTTTTCCATTTGTTCTTTATTTCCTCTTTATTTGTTCTCTATATATTTCCAAGAGTACAAACCCTATATATAGGGGCCAATAGATTATAGGAGTTACAATAAATAAACACTCGCTAAATGAGAGGTTGCGGATTAATCTCTTACTAATGGAGGGGTTACAAAGAATTCCATTATTACAATTTAAATGCATGGCATTATATAGTGTAAATCACTATTGTAATTACATGGAGGTAGTGAAAGTTAAAGAATTACTTAGTGTATAAATGACAAGAAAAGTGGAAAGATGAGAGGATGAAAAAGGTGAAACATCTATAATAAATTGATTCATAACAATTTATTAATTTTATAACTTTTATGCAATTAATTATTGTTAAGGTTTCACCTACTACAATTTAAATAGTATTTTTTATTATATGAAATCTCAACCATTCAAATAATATTTATTTGAAAAAATATTAATAAAAGTTTGGTTTATTTATATTCACTCATTTGAAAATCTTGATTAGAATTAAAATTAAAAATTTAAACATATATTGCCAAACAACTAATCCTCTACTGTAACCAAAAAATATTGTTTGAAAAAAGGATTAATTAAAAAGTGAAATTGCAATTTGGACAAATATTTTTGTTGGGGGTGGGCCGGACGGCATAATGGATGTCGCAATTGTTGACGCCACAACAAGCTGCACACTCTTTCGGTTAGCTATCTCTCTCACAGGCCTCAGATATTAGCCAATCGAATTGGCCTCCTTTGCCTCCTCTTATCAGAACAAAACCCCTTATCCTATGCAATCCAAAAATATCTCTTTTTTTTTTCTTCCATAGAGAGAAAATAATTTACTTTTTTTATTTGAAAGATTTGAATAGTTCCTAATTAATTTTTACATGCTTCAAAATTAATACTTTTTTAACCATAGTATTCTACTACTATAATTTTCATATGATTTTTTTAATATATATTTAAAGGTATATTTATTGGGTGGTGCTATAGAAACAATTTTTTTATCTCATTTTTTATACAACTTCCACATGTCATTAAATGAGCGGATACATTTAATATCATAGGTCTCACATAAATTAAAAGAATCAATTATTTTAATAACAAATCAAGTTGTACAAAAAAAAAATGAGACAAAATAGTTGTCTCAATAGTATTTCCCATATTTATTACGTCCTTTATCAATTAATCAATTAATTGGTATAAAAATATATCTAAAAGTGTATTTTTTTCATAACCATTAATAGAACTATGAAAATATATAATAAATGCTCTTAATTTATATATTTTAGGACATAGATTAAAAAAACAAATTTTCAAACAAATTTCCATACATGGACTGTCATTAATGGGTTTAAAGAAAAGACTTTGCTTTAAGAACTTGCCAAAAAAAAAAAAAACTCTCTCTATCTCAAAATAATTATTTTTATTTAATTTTTACTCAAATTTCAGAATTTGAAAATAATTTTTATATATTTATTTATACTACCTATAAAAAAAATAAAAGATAAAATTAAATTTTTGTGATAGAATAATTAATTAAAATAAATCAATAAAAAAATTAAAATAGAAAAAAAATATTTATGTAAAAAAATGATAATTAATTTGTAACAATCTTAAAGTTAAAAAATTATGTTTATTTTGGGACGTAGGAAATAATAATTTTAAAAATTTATTGTCAAAGGAAATAATAATTTTAAAAATTTATTGTCAATAAATTATTTTAAGTCAAATTTTTATTAAATAGAGATACAAATGACATACTATTTCAATTTCACATAATACTTTCTTGGCAACCAATGAGTAACACCACACAGCATTCATTTTTTTTTATTGATCTTATGTTGCACAATAAGAGATAAATTTCTCTTATTTTTTAATTTATTTTATTCATATGTTATATAATTTAAATTCAAAATCTCTTATTTTCATTAAAAAAATTACCACTAATAATATATCTAGTTTGAGGGAATGGAGGGGAAAAGAAGGCGAGGGGTGGATATTTCTTTATATGATTAGCAAAAATTTTAGAGAAAATAGGAGAGAAATGAAAGGATGGTATATCATTCTATTCCCCTCTTATCTATTTCCCTTCAATCAAGAAAATGTGTAAATAATAATAACAACATTGCACTTTGTTTTTTTTTTTTTAAATGTTAACTTTGTTAATTTTTAAATAAGAACATTAGTTTTCAATTTTTTTATTTAAAAATATTAATTTTTAATTTTTTCTATATAAAGATATCAATTTTTAAACTTTTTTATTTAAAAATTAATTAAATGGTAATGTTGACATGCCTAACATCCTTAAATAAAAAAAATTAAAAATTAATATACTTAAATAAAAAAGTTATACTTATTAAAAACTAATAAAATTAACATTCTTAAATAAAAATAAAAACGTTAAGTTAATATATTTATTTACACATTTATTCCCCTCAAACCAAACTAAACATACCGTAAATTATTTAAGTTGTTGACTAATACCACACATATAAAGAAACAAAACAAAATTATACTTTACCATTCTCCTTCCCTTATTTTCCCTCAAACCAAACAACTACAAATGAGTTAAGTTGCTGGCTAATATTACACATATTAAAAAAACAAAAACAAAATGTAAAATAAAATATAAAACCAGCCTACCATCCTCATCGTATCCCCTACATGGTATATATAGATACATCCAAGAAGGTATTAAAACCCATACTCAATGTTAATTTGGCTCATTTCACATTACCCCCATTTACCACTAGTGTCCAAAAAAATGTCTCCCCTGAGTCTGCTCTTTCTCCTACTGGCAACCACAACCGCATCAGCTCCTCTCCGTCCCGGCTTCTACTCGGAAACATGCCCGGAGGCAGAATCCATTGTAAGACAGGTGATGAAAAAGGCCATGGCACGAGAACCCCGGAGTATCGCCTCTGTTATGCGCTTCCAATTCCATGACTGCTTCGTTAATGTAAACTTCTGCCAGCAAGACACTCACTCTGTTTCGATTAGCTTGGAAAATTATCTACTTTACATGGCTTCTGATCAAAATTTTTTTTCCATTTTAGGGTTGTGATGCGTCTCTGTTGCTTGATGATACGCCGACCATGTTGGGTGAAAAGCTCGCTCTCTCGAACATAAACTCGTTGAGATCATTTGAAGTCATTGATGAGGTGAAGGAAGCGTTAGAGAAGGTGTGTCCAGGAACAGTTTCTTGCGCAGATATCATAATCATGGCTGCTAGAGATGCCGTTGCGCTGGTAATTTTGGTCATAACTCACTGCTTTCTTATTTTAATTATGTTCGAAATCAGGCATCGAGGTCGCAAATTTCGGATTCTTCTCCACTGAGATTTGTTTGTTTTGCGGACATCCCGCAAAATGGATGCTTTTTGTCGAACACTTTGTCAACTTTGGACAATTAGCTTTTTCCTTATTATATTTGCCCGAATGATTTCAGACCCTCTTTTCAAAAAACCCCCCTTAGGAAAGGATGGATTTTAAGCAGAGTTGTAGAAGTAGAACCCTCAGACTTAGAAATTTTGTGTCATTTTTAATGTGTGTTTTAAAACAGAGTGGAGGACCCAATTGGGAAGTGAGGCTGGGAAGGAAAGATAGCTTTACAGCCAGTCAAGAAGACTCAAACAACATAATGCCGAGTCCAAGAGCAAATGCAAGTTATCTTATAGACCTTTTCAGCCAATTCAATCTTTCTGTCAAAGATCTTGTAGCACTTTCTGGGTCACACTCAATTGGCCAAGGAAGGTGCTTCTCAATCATGTTTAGGCTCTACAATCAATCCGGGTCCGGGAAGCCTGATCCTGCTCTTGAGCCAAAGTACAGAGAAAGACTAGATATGCTGTGTCCTCTGGGTGGGGATGAAAATGTAACAGGGGACCTTGATGCAACCCCTCAAACGTTTGACAACCAATACTTCAAGGACTTGGTTGCTGGGAGAGGGTTTCTGAATTCAGATGAGACGCTGTTTACATTTTCACAGACTAGAGATTATGTAAGGCTTTTCAGCAAAAACCAAGGTAAATTCTTCAAGGCCTTTGTTGAGGGGATGCTCAAAATGGGAGATTTGCAGTCAGGGCGGCCGGGGGAGGTTAGGATCAACTGCAGGGTGCCTAATAGCAGGCCAGTTGATGTGTTGCTGGAATATTGAAAGAAGAAACTATAGTTTAATTAAAGTATTAGGGTTTGCGAATTAAGGGAGTGTGACACAGAATAAGAGTAGGGAATTCATACACTACTACTCCGGTTGAACTCTGGAAGTGAATGATGGAATGGATGCTGTAGAGATTGAAACAGGCAAAGGGAGGTTAATACTATCAATCAATTCCTATGTTGATGCTTTTCTGGTTGGAATCTTTGGAAAAAGCATAGAGAATAATGTTAACATACAAAAGACCTTTCTTCAGACTCACTCATGGGTTTGATTATTATTAGTAGTGTTTTTGAAAGAGTGCAATTGATAGAATGTAGAAAGGGGAATGGTTTGATGATAATGAATGGATATGTAAGAAGGAAAAAGAAATAAACAGTCATTTTCATTAATATTGTACAAACTACGAAGTAAAGATAGCTGCAGGGTCTCTATTATTACTCTACACTTATTAGTCTAGACTCCAACGGGAACCTATTCAACCGTAAGCTACCCCTTTTTTTTTTTTGGTCCATTTCATGCCTTATAACATTGTAGTATCTTCAAAGACCAGCACCATGCATGGCGGTTTCCCCTTTGTATGCCTGGTTGGCTTACATTAACCCCGAAATGAATGTTTGAGAAAGTTGTGAGGGGTCAAGAAAACTGCTTAGTCTAGGAATGTTAAATTCTGGCTCTAAAAGCAAGAAAGATCATGCAACTGATTATATATAAGGAGTATAATTGATGATAGTTGATATGGTCAAAATTTTTCTAATATTTAAAAAATTAGATATTGAATTTTAAATTTATTATGAAAAGTATAAATAATTCTATATATGATAAAAATAAAATTAACAAATAATTTTATCACTATATCACATGATAGAAAGAAGTTAATATGGTCAAAATTCTGTAAATACTTCTTGAAATTGAAAGTACTTAGCCAAATCAAGATATGGCTTCAAAGTGTAGTTTCCCCAAACCAAAGACATGCGAATTTTTTTAAATTATGGTTTTTACTCTTACCTAAACCTAGAAATATGAGTAGAAAAAACTTGGTGATTTATGGCTCAAACTTAAGAGCTTGGACTGTAGTAAGTTCTACTCATGTACGGTGAGAGTTGTACTTGTAACTTTCTCCCTACTCAAAGATTTTCTATGTTGGAAAAATGAATTACGATCAGAAATGCACTTTCAAGTTTGAAAGCCATTAGGAAAAGATGTCACTCAAGCTTCTCACTTTCAATTTTGTTTGTTTGTGTAGTGTGATGCAGTCAGAAAATAGAGACTGCCTTTTCTTTTTTCAATGTGAATGGGTAAAATTTCTGTTCGGATCGGCCAACCATATCTTCAGATGTGGACCTTAAAGGACGGTATCGTCCAAATCGACAAAATTTACAAAAATAATATATTTATTAATGAGTAAATTTAACTTATTTAATAATAAATATGAATTATTTTATTAATAATTAATTATTTTTAATTATTAAATTAATATCTTAACAAATGCGTGTGTTCGTAATCACAACGTCAATGCTACACCTGAGGATAAACTGCATGAAACGTT